CCTTCCTCCTTGCCACTTCCTCTAAAAATCAATGGAAAAAATATCCTTGGGTGAGGATTAACAGGAAAATAAAATTAGGAAGTCAGGTCCTTATACCTGCACAGGAGGGTCTCTGCTGCCAGGAGTTAACCAATCAGACGCGACCTCATCAGGCGGCGGCTGATAGGACGCAGCTGTCACACGGCCTGTACGCTGATGGCTCTGGACGGGGCGTCACAGGGACGGATGCTGTGCTGACCGCTGTCGTGTTTGTATTTGACTGTCTAGGCCCGTGGTCGGCAAACTGCGGCTCTCGAGCCACATGCGGCTCTTGGGCCCCTTGAGTGTGGCTCTTCCTAAGCCTTAGGAGTCCCCTAATTAAGTTAATAACAATGTACCTACCTATATAGTTTAAGTTTAAAAAATTTGGCTCTCAAAAGAAATTTCAATCGTTGTTCTGTTGATATTTGGCTCTGCTGACTAATGAGTTTGCTGACCACTGGTCTAGGGGAGCAGGTCAGGGCCCCTGGCTGACAGCCGGGGCTGCGTGTTAATCATTCTTGCGGCACACGGGTGAGAGTCTGCTCTAAGGCTCCGGCTCTGCAGGGCTCTGACGTGCCGGTTCTGGGCTTTCCTTCGGGGTCGGATTGCAGTGCAGTCTTTTGATGCCGACAGCTTAGAAGGCTGTTAGGACAGTACGCGCCGCGCATCCACGCTGCCCACGGAGACGGGGGCAGGTCTCTGTCCTCAGCAGAAATTGGTTTTCTCGCCCATTTTCTTTGATAGCAACATGATTTAAATGTCATTTAAATTATATAATGTGGAGCTGGTGATGGGAAAGAAGAGGAAGGGCTCTGTCACCGGAATTAACCAAAGGTGGACTTTTTTAGAACCCAGTTAACATCGTGGTTTGCTCCGTGGTCCCGTCTGTGGTTTACTCCATGGGCCTCTCCGTGGTTTACTCCGTGGTCCCGCTCCGTGGTCCGCTCCGTGGTCCGCTCCGTGGGCTGCCCAGACGAGCTCTGGCAGCGGGCCTCGGAGGCAGGACCTGGATGTCACTTGCTCTCCTGGCGAAGAGATGCGTTAGCTGCCCTGCCGTGCCACCGTCTTTCTGGAAAGGAACCCGGGCGTGTGGCTGAGGAGCCATGGCGGGTGGCGGGCTGGGGGTGGATGGACTTCCACCTCTTCCCTGTGTCTGTCCTGTTGCATGTAGCAGCACTGTCGGCAGAAACGTAGCCGTCCCCAGAGCCCTCCTGGGCCCAGCGTGGCTCCCCTGGCCTGGCCAGGCCCTGGTTCCTCCTCCCCACCCCCCTGGCGTTGGAGCGGGCAGTGCCCCAAGCGTGGGGTCCGGGAGGGGCCTTAGGCTCTGGTTGTTTGTCGCAGACTTAGTGGCCGCCGACCCCGCGTTCAGGGTGAGCGTGTGGGATCTGTGGGCGAGCCCTGCCCCGGGCTTTCCGGCTCCCGTTTCTTGCGAGCTCCTACCCATCGCTTCCGTTCCCAGGACGCGGCTGGCAGCTCTCGCAGCTATTAGCTTCTTTCTGTTCCTTTTGTTCTTGTGGGGTTTTCCTTTATTAAATTCCTTGTCATTTTAATAGGATTTGGAGAGGAAGCTTTAAGATAAACACATGTTCGGACCACCATTTTAACCATCAGTTTTGTAAAAGGGCCTGCGTGAGCGCAGCCTGTCCAGTGTGGGGGGGAGGAGGGGGGAAGAACTGTAAGCTTCCAGCTATAAGACGGCCATGGAAGCGTGATGTGCAGTGTGGGAACGTGGTTAACGTGATCACTGTGTGGGCTCTAGACTTACCAGGGGGACCACTTCGTCAGGTATAGAAATAATGTGCCCCTGGAACTAACATAATCCTGTGTCAACTATAATTGAAAATAAACGTCAGCCCGGCCGGTGTGGCTCAGTGGTTGAGCATCAGCTTATGAACCAGGAGGTCACGGTTCTTTGATGTGCAGTCAGGGCACAGACCCGGGCTCCATCCCCAGTGGGGGGCGCAGGAGGCAGCCGGTCCATGATTCTCTCTCATCATGGATGTTTCTCTCTCTTCCCCCCTCCCTTCCTCTCTGAAACCAATAAAAATATATTTAAATAAATAAATTTTAAAAATATTTCTGAGAGCCGGGAAGACAACGTAAGCATGGAGGCCCTGCTGCCGCTGCGTGTCCCTCGGGCCCGGTCCTCAGAAGCCCCCCTGTTCTCAGCACGCTCCCCTGCCCAGCCTCACGCCCCTGAGTGTGTCTTCCTGCTCTTGGCTGTGAAATGGTCCAGCGGAGTGTGAGGCGAGTGCGTCTAGTTAACGCGCCTTGAGGATGGCGTGCAGGGTTCTGATGGTGTGTTTTCGATGATGAACGTTCGGGGCTTTGCTGTGGCCGGAGACTGGGTCGCACGGGGCTCGCTGTTCACGCGGCCCATCAGCGTGCTCCGAACAGGGCCTGCGCTCACCGTGGCTATTTAAAGAGAACCCAGAAATATCCAGGAACTTAGGCGGCCTGCGAGCTGCGAGAACACGCGGGGTTTCCTGGTAACGTTTATTTGGTTATGTTTTCGAATCCATGATTCGCAGAAAAAATCCTAAGCGCTAGCGTAGTTAAGTGGGCTTGGGGGAGTCGGGACGCGACCGAGGCGTCCAGATGAGGAAGTCGTCAGGGTAACGCCTTGTCTCTGAGGACCGTGTGGTTTTCGTTTTGATTGGAAGCATGTGGCCTCCCGGCAGTTTCCCTGCTGTAAGGGCCCGCGAGCTGCTGTCAGTGACTCTGCCCGGTGCTCTGACCTCGTGCTTGACCTCAGCCGAGCCAGCGGAGGGTTCCGCAGAAAAGCCCCTCTCGGGGTTCCGTGCCAAAGCTCCGCGCTGGCTTAGTCACTGGACGTGTCCCCTCAAGAGATGAGCTGTCTAAGATCCCAGTATAAAATGAAGCGGTCGCTTTAGAAATGTCAGGCAGTGCATGCGGGAGTTATTTTTAATGATAAAAATGTTGCTAGACTTAGCCTGCCTGCCAGGAAGAGAAGTAACTTCAGGCCACAGACTTGGGGACAGGCGGGCGAGCGGTCCCTGGAGGAGCCCGGCCCGCGGGGCAGTGTGAACAGCCTGGCTCTGTGTCTCTGCGGTCTGAGCTGCTGTGAAGCAGCAGAGAACAGCGGCGCACAGGCGGGGGGGTAAGTGCGGGGGATGGCGAGCTGCGTTGGGGGACGAGTATTTACAGTTTGGGGCACTTCTGTAAACGCGGGGAGTACTTCATACCAGCAGCGCCGCTGGGTTCCTCTGTGTTGTTAGTGGATGCAGATCGCCCGGTCCTGGGCGTTCACTGGGTTGAGAGATGAGAGTGTGTGGCCGAGTTGTTGTTGTTGTTTTATCAATTTCAGAGAGGAAGGGAGAGGGAGAGAGAGAAACACCAATGTTGAGAGAGAATCATCGCTCGGCTGCCTCCTGCACGCCCCTCACTGGGGATGGAGCCCACAACCTGGGCCTGGGCCCTGACTGGGAATCGAGCTGGGACCTCCTGGTTCATGGGTCGATGCTCAGCCACTGAGCCACGCCCCTGCCGGTGTGGCTGAGTTTTGTTCTGCTCCTTCCCTGCCCACCCTGGGGCAGGACAGATGCTCTGCATCTCCCAGGCCGCACACCTGGATGCCTCCGGGGAGTCGGGCCCTGGGCCTGTGCTCAGGTGCTCGGGCACTTTCCTCGGAAAACATCCTCAGCAAAGGCTTTGTATTGTTTCTCAGGACACAGAGGGTCTCGGTTATTTTGTTTTTTTAAATATTTTTATTGATTTCAGAGAGGGAGAGAGTTAGAAACGACAATGATGAGAATCATGGATCAGCTGCCTCGGGCAGACCCCCCACTGGGGATTGAGCCCGTAATCCAGGCATGTGCCCTTGACCGGAATCGAACCTGGGACCCTTCAGTCCACAGGCTGACGCTCTATCCACTGAGCCACACCAGCCAGGGCCGTCTCGGATGTTTTTAAAATAATAGTATTTACTAGAGAAGCTACATTCAACTCGGTGACACTCAAGATGTTAGTTTCTTATTCTCAGAGAAGTCACCTGAAAATTTGGTCCAGAAAAGAGGACAGAATTAACGCAAATCTAACACTTACTCCTGAGATGTCTTACATGTCATAAGCAAGCTTTTCACGTGTCACTTAAAGCAGCACTGCGGCCCGGGCTTGCTGTGCGGGTCTCAGGACAACGAGGAACTCACAGCGCAAGCGGGCACGTGGGACAGTGAGTTCCCTGGCACCGCACAAGCGGGCACCAGCAGGGAGGGTCATCGGGGACCAGCTCGAGGGCTGGCTCTCACAGGTTTGTTGTGGGGTTTTTTTTGCTTATTTAAAAGAAGGTTTTTATACATTTCATTTTGATTAGTACAACCCCCGTTTCCAGGCGTTGACGTAGTTTGAGTCTAAGAAAGCCTTCGGTTTGGGTTAATGGTGGGGGAAGTGCCTGGGCTGCAGAAACGAGGGAGAGGAGCGGTGGGGGCCTCGGGGGGAAGCTCAGTGAGATCCACAGCGAAGGAAGGCCCTTTGGCAACAAGGGAAGTGGCCTTATTCTGTCAGCTTTCCGTGTGGGTTTTGTTGATGTTCTTGTTGGTTTTCTTTTGGGGCATAGGCGCCGTGTTCACTGTTTTTAGTTAAGCGAGGAAAATCGGTAATTTTGTGTTGCTTGCTTCCAGTTACATATAAAAGTCCTCCAACATTTTAACCCAAATCGCTTATCTTCCCTCCGGGCTGGAGTTAGAACAAAACAGAGCCGTTCGTGTGCGCCCCTGAACCCCCAACCGCAGGCCAGATGCGGGGCTGTTGGCTTTGGCCCGTCGCGCTGCCCAGAAGTCGGGCTGGCTTCCGAGG